TATTTCCTTATTTTTTTTTTTTTTTTTTTTTTTTTTTTTTTTTTTTGTACTAGGGATCCAACTCGGGACCTTGTGCTTGCCAGGCAGGTTGTGGAACCACTAGGCTAAATCCCCAGCCCTCCTCAGATAAATTTTGATTGGAGCCTATCTAACGTTGGAGAAAATGAGTTCTCCCTATCAGTCAGTGACTGAAGAAAAATGTTTGCCTAGGAATTAAAATCTTTTGCTTTCATTCAAGTGTTTCATTTGACATTAATTTAAAGGGATATGGGTATTCATTTCCATACAATAAAAATACCTATATAAAAGTATCAAGTGATAGATTTTGGCCTTGAATATTGATAACTAGCAATATTCTCAGCATCTTCAATTATATGGCAAAAATACTGAATTAAAATATTCCCAGGGTTTCAGATTCCCTGAAACCGGTGCATTGCTGAACTAACAACTTCTCCATAGCTGTGTTCTGGTCCAAGTACAACAGTGACCCCCAGCTGTAAACAGCTTTTACTCCTCTCTCAGTTGTGGAGTACTGGATTTAGGATTTGTCAAGGAAGGATGGACATAAGAAAATTCATTTGACTCCTTAACGTTACCCTAAATAATGTTCTTCCTTTACTGTAGGAATTATAAGAATTAGAGTTACCAGGCTTGCTAGCAAGATGGGGACACTGACTCATTTTCATTTTCAGGAAGGTTTTATATTACTGTTATTGTCTTCAAAGCAGAAACAAGTTTTGAGTTTAAGTACCATGGGAAGAGCCTGTAGCATGACAGAGGACACTGCCAGGTGCTTTCTTTCTTTTGGTCTCCAAATCTTTCTGAGACATGACAAGAATTACTGATTACTTTTCTTTTATTTTTGGGGCCAAGTCATCGTAGGTAAGATTCATAGCCCTGAGACATAGGCAATGTGAAGTTCCAGCCTGCTACTTAGTGACCTTGCCAGTAGGAATCAGTCCACTACCTTTTCTGAGCTACACTTTCCTAATGCACACACAAAGCTAGTGAAGAAAAAGCATGAACCAAAATGATAATGAAATCACAGAGCCCAAAAAGTGGCAGCTGTAATCACTAATACTTTTATTATGAAAGAATAATATGCAATTTGTAAAAGAGAGAGGTTTTCCATTAATAATTTGGCTTGTTTCCCTCTGGTCCCTATGACATTCTGAGGAAAGTCGATAGCCCCAGGGACATGTATGACGAGAGTTGTTATCCTGGGACATTTAGTAGTGAAATCTTCAGGGAAAATTCATTTCAAAGAGACACATTTGTACCTAGAGTTCTCCAAGTTACAGCTATTTGGCCTCTCTTAGCTCTATTTTTTTTTTCTTTTGCAATACAGGGGATCAAACTCGAGACCTTGCACTTGCAAGGCAGGCATATTGTTACTGAGCTAAATCCCTGGCTCTCTTAGCTCTATTTTGATTTTAATTTTATAATCTCCATCACATGGAGTATGACTGGGCGAGATAACTTTCTCCTTTAGTCCTCTGTTGGATGATGCTTACACTTCTGTCTCAATAAACTCATAAGAACATCTTTGATAAGTAATTCTTGCCCTCTTTTCCTTAGGGTCTTAGACAAGTAAGATCATACTACTTGAAAGGGCCAAGCCTTATTTATAAACTTTGCCTTTGAAGCTGCTCATTTTTTTCATGAAACACATATCAGAACATGGTAAGTAGGGACAAAAAAATAAGTGTTGTCAGAGAAATATAATTCATAATAATTGTTTTCCAAGAACTTTCTAAAACAGATTCTGATAGATCTTCTTTTCAAAAATATTAGAGATAATTATCATTCTTATGAATCAAAACAATTATGAATAATTTTGTAGGGTCTGAATAACTATATACTAGGAGAAGTTAAATTAAATCAAAACCTTCTTTCTGGGGAGTTGCAGTAACTGACACCCATCTTCAACCTGCTCCCCCCAAAATCATTTTATGATAAGGACAGTTTGAAATATTTTTCTTCCAAAGATGTAAAGCCTAAACATTCAGCTTTACTTCCATCTGTAAGAGTAATGATCAGTAAATCATTACACCTTTGTTGGCCTCAAGTTCTTTATTTTAAAAACCAGAGGATTTGACAAAAGGAGTTGTGCATTGGCTTCTAGCTCTCTCTATTAATCAACTTACAATAAGAAGAAATTATCTTTTGTTTTCCAAGTAGTCACTTTTAAAGAGGTTGAATAAAAATCTCGCTCTTTGAACACTGTTTCTGAGTAACTCATAGGTCTACATGGACCACTTACTGTCTCTTCATTCTCCAAATATGCTCTTAATAGCTCCGGAATAAATAACATGTAGCCAGTGTAACTACCATTCATCGTTCACATTCACCAGTCTTCTCACAGGAAGTGTCAGGAAACAGGTTCAGGTTTCTAAACTGTCACACTGCTGGCCATTCCCACTAACTTGCAAATATGACAGCGTCTTTCCACTGTACAGAAAAGCAGGGGCTCGAACTCTGATGATTTTTCTTTGACTCTCCATAGGCGCTGCCAGGAAGAGTACTGGTGATTGACGCTGTAATAACAGGTAGCCCTGATCTCTGACAGGCGCAGCCACAGTGTCATACCTGGTCCCTTGGCTTTATCAGCTTGGATGCGTCCCAGCCGGAATACAACAGCACGTTCATATTCCTTAATGATCTGAGAGATTAAGTGACAGCATTTAGTCTTAATGGCTTCTCAGCTCATTTGGAGAGCCCCATTTATTTCCCAGGGTGTTACCTTCAAGCACATCCATACGGAGATGGGAAAGGTAATAATCATCAACAGGAGAGAAAGAGAAAACAGAATCCAGCCGCATACACCAAGCCGGTTTTTGGTGATGCCTAAGAGGTGAGAAAGAAGCCTGTAAATGATGAGATTCTAGAAAAGCATGCTGCTGAATTTATGAGGAAATTTTCTAGACAGCTGGTCAAACCTGATGTTACTAAAAAGGACACCTAAATTCACCCAAGCTCGTCAATGCAGTTAACCCCCACCCCCCACAAAGGCATTTCATGTTTTTAGGAATTAAAATTGATCTATCCCTTTCAAGAAGATTCAGAGGAACAAACAGCAATTCCGTCCACTACATTTCTATTGGGCTGACATGTATATTATTCTCAAAACATGTAAAATAATGTTTCTCAGAATATAATCTAAGGACCATCTGTACTGAAGCAATCAGACTCATGGGCCTCATAAATTCTCCAGGTGAAATTCAAAATGACCCCCAAAGTAGACAGGTAGGCACTGTTATCCTGAGATGAAGACAATGTGGCACATGGAAAAACATTTTGAAGAGCCTTTAGGTGTGAGTTTGTGTGTCAGTGTCTTCATCTATCAACTGTTTGACCTTACAATCTCTAGGTCTCCCTTTCTTCATCTCTAGAATGGGGATCTAAAAGTGAGCTACCTTGGAAGATTTGATGTGGACTAAAAAGAGATTACTTTTATGTGGCCCATGCAGTGACACCCACATTGGTAAACACACACTATTACTGTTAACCTGCTGTATATATGGATAGGAATTCCAGGGATTTGTCAGATCTTGATACTTGACATTTATGACTTTTCATGGAACTCAGTAGCGTTGGTTCACCACATTAGATGTCTCTTTATTGATAATACATTGTGATAGTAGGAGGATTTGGCTTAAATAGTACTGCCTTGCAATAAGACAGAATTGAAATTTTAGTCATATCAATGCATAATTTCTCAAGTCTCAGGATTTTTGTTGGTAAAACATGCATGTCTGGCTGCCTAGTTTTAGAATTCTTCATATTTACCATTTTACCTCTTTTTTAATCCTCATTCTATATTCTCTTGTCCTTGCCTTTACAAACAAGGCTGTGTTAACTGGGCTTGTATGTGCCTTACTGATAAATATGCATTTTCCTTGATGAAAGTGCCCCCCACCCCGTTCTCCCTACATGTCTCCCAGTTAAGTCACTTTCCCCACATGAACACAACTACTAGGTCACACTATGCTTCTAGATATCTCCACCTAAGGAATCTTATAAACACCACATGCTGCCTCTGTCTCAAGTATCCCTTGACCACTCATCTGACTGCCCAGCCTGCATACTTGTGTCATGATGGCCTTTTCCTTGTCCAATTGTCAGCATCACTAACACCAAATGACCACTTAAAATCCATCACCACTACTCCATTTCACTGGGACCTAATTTCTCTTTATAAGTACATATTTGCAAATCAAGCAGTCTACAATGCTCTTGGGGAGTAGGTACACACACATAATACATCTGCACTCCTTTTTTTATAATCCCCTTCCCTCCTCCTACCCTCCTCTTTCAAATCTCCTTTCATCATTTTCACTTCTGTTGATATTATTAATCGTATTTCATGTTTATGACATATAATCTTTAAAGTTACTTAGATTATTAGGTCCCTATGCACGGCATATCTTTTATTCCACATATTTCCCCTTCTCTTGCCCTTGGTCTCCGGGGCCCTTTCCCTTTTCCCATTTGTCTTGTTCTATCCATCCTTTATTGTGCTCTTTGTTTGTACTTTTGAAAATTTAGGAAAGTTCTAAGCTTTTGCTCTTACAAACATTGCTATAATGTATGTTTCTAAATGTCTGTTTGTGTGTATTTATGTAGGATAAATTCCTGGCAGTGGATATGTTAAGAGGAAGGGATTAATATTCATCATTTTGATAGATGGTAAATATTCTTCAAGGAGTTGATCCACAGGACACGTGTGTCTTTTGTGACATGTCATACCCTCAGGACGTTGTGTTAGGCTTCTTGATTGTTACAGTCTGAGAGGTGAAAAGTAAGTTTTAGATGCATGATTTAGTATTAAAAAATTGAATGAAAATATTTCTTTATATGTTCTAAGAACACATAAAGATAGAGTCTAAATCATAAGAGTTTGCTTGCCCTTTTTAAGTCCTAAAACTCCACTTTCCAAAGCACCTTGGATTCACATTGAGGCAGATCAGATTATCACTATGAAGACGAAAAAAATGACACTTAGCATATTCTCAAAAAAATCCTTGCTGTATTTTTTAATCACTGCTTTTTAATATCGTGTTTTATTTATTTGTGTTATTTTTATTTTAATATTGTATTTTATTTATCAATGCTGTTTAATATTTGTATTAAATACCATAGCATGTACATTCCCACTGAAAATCATTTAAAAATATAACTGAAGACCCCCTGCTCGGTTACACTTTTAAAATTCATAGTTATCATCACTTTGGTGTATTTCTTTTTACATTTAGAAAATACTGGCCTTGGTTTCTAGAGTTTACTTTTGATTAAAGACACCACATTGTACCTAAGTTTCCACTATTTTTTTTAACTAAATTATCGTGGATGCATTTCTGTGTCATTACGCACTCATCTACATTAATTGTTGTCTCCTCTTCCATTCTAAACCAGGGCCTCAGGGTTTTGATTTGTTTTTTAAGCCATTCTTCTATCAAATGACATTAAGTTTGCTGGAAAATTTGCCTTTACAAACAAGGCTGAATTGACTGGGCTTGAATGTGCCTTGCTGATGTGCATTTTCCTAAAATCTTTTTAAAAGTGCTGAGAAGCCAACCTGGTTCTGCCACCTTGGTGTGTTTCCACCTGCTGACATGGTCATATTTGATGCTCAGACCCCTTGTGGCCTTCTGGGACTGGGGTGTTTTCAGGGCAGCATGAACAAGCAACTGGAACTCTAAGGAGGATACAATCTACACTTTTGCCCTGTGCCATGCCCTATACATTGTCAAACTAGTCTCAGTCTTAACACGAAGCGGCATGAAGAGTTTTTAACACCTACTTCTCCGGCAAGCAGGAGCTCCTCTCCCACCTCACGTCTGCATCATTACATATGGGCAGCAGGCTTGGGCCTATTGTACTAAGTACGCCGCCGAGAGAGAAAAGAAATGAGAACTTTCCAAGATTTACACCCGCTTAGAATCACCAAGTCCGCCAGCTGCACTAAGAACTGGTGGGTGTCATTAGCTGCTGTTTAAAGTGTGACAGTGAGTACCACTGTCAGCCTCCCTGCAAGATCTGTAGCTCAATGTTCTGAGCTCCCACAGCCATCAGGACTGAGACCACAAAGTGCTGCTTTGCAAGCTTCACCTCTGATGTCCATCCTACACTTAATACAAGGATGCTGTGCTGATACCTGCGTTTGAAGATTACAATTCTGGCTGAAAGGAAATGATTTATTTTTTCAGTTACAAAACACCTTCAGCAAGTTCCCATACTGCCTTCCTGTCAATTTGTACAAGGCTTCTGCCAAATCCTTTCCTTGTGGCTGATGGGAGGAAAACCTAAGCCCCGACCACATCTAACTATCTGGTTAGCCAAATCCACAAATAGGTGTTTTATGTGGACAACTGTCACTTAAACCACAGAGCCATTTTCTATGTTTACTTCTGCTAGCGAACTGGCTTTCTCTGCCCTCCACAAATTGGCCCTAATTCGCTAGCACCCTGGCTCTAAGGAAAATAAGATGTGGGACTTGCCATCAAAAGTGCAAATCCAGGAGGTAAAAAAACAATAGGGACAAATATCACTGAGTGAGTATTTTGTTATGCTTACTTCTAGGAGGTCTACAGCTCAGGAAGTAATTAGAGACTACCTTCTGTCCATGGCTATGAGAATAAACAAACAAAACAGAAAAATGCTTAGCCAACACCTTCCTTTAAAACTGAAAGGGAAATTTAGAGCCATGACACAGGAACCTGAGACCCAGAGCCACTGACAAAGGAGGAGGACCCAGGAATTTCCACTGGAGAGACTTTGAGTTGAGGCCAATCTTTTATTTGCAGACAGCACTTCTTGATTGTTGTTTTCATCACCATTTTGTTCTCTCGCTAAGGTGGCTACCACAAGTTCTACTTTCTGTCTTCCTTTCCTGATTTCAGAAGTAAGGCATAACCAAGCTTCATTTAGCAAGGCGCATCCCTGAGCACTGCTCCTGGTTCTCACGTACAACCCTTTGTGCCACAGAAACTCAGATACCCTTTAGAGCCTGGAGTAAACACTCAAGGCAACATCTTGTTCTTGCACAAGGATGAAAGTAGGGGAGAATATTCCAAATCTCTAGCCTTACCGGCATAACATTAGAACTAGAAATGAAATATAGTTAAAAAAAAAAAAAAAAAAGAGGGTAAGTGACTTGGTTGTTCATTTTCCAACTTTGGCTTGATCAATGGCATTTAAATATTAGATAATACTCATAAAATATTTGGTCACAGACCTGTATTATTTTAGTCCTTTATTTTTTTTAGCAAAAAGAGTAATTTGGGTATTATAACATTTTAAAACACCAGAATAGAATGATGCACATTACGCATTAGGAAAATGAAAGTGAAGACCACAACTAAGATACTAATACATAGTTCTCAGAAAGTAAACATCAAAGACTAACAATGTAATGTTTTAGCAAGATTATAGAGAAACTAGAGCACTCCGATATGCTATTGGGAGTACACTTTGGTAGGATAAACTGAAAAGCTATTCAGAAGCATCCAGTAAAGCTATATACATACCTACTATACGAATCAGTATGATTCAACTGGTAAGTAATACACAAGAGAAGTGAGCTGACAGCAAAAAAACATGTCCAAGAATGTTCATTGCCATCTTATTCATCAAAGGTAAGAAATGAAAAGTCAACCAAATCTATCCACAGTCAGGTGAATAAAAAAGTTGTGATACATTCATAGCAAGGAATATTACTCAGTAAGCAGAAGGATAAAACTACTGCCTTCTGCAAAATGTGATGAATCTCATGGATATGACATCAGGTGAAACAAGCCAGACCCAAGAGTACTTACTTTCTCATTCCATGCATAAGATTTGACTTA